TCAGTCCACTTCCTATCTTTTACTCTCAAATATTGTTTAAAATCCCATATGCTTCTTATGTACATATTTGATTATGAAATTGAAATAGCTGTTGGGAGGGCATCTGTCTTATCCTATTTACTTTTGTATTTATCATATCCTATCATAGAACTTTCATAAATAACTATACATGCATATGCATGTACACTCATGTAGAATCTTCATCTGCTTTCAATTGCAAAAGTCTTCCTTTTCTAAATTGGACTATATATTCTACCCACTGAGGAAATATGTTTGGAGGATATTATTAACTTGTATAGGCAGAGATTTGTCAATAATAAAATATTTTTCTTTAGGAGTGATGGGTGAATAATTGTATCTCGATATCTGTTAAGATAATGCCTTTGGCTCAAAAAAAAAGTAAGAGCAGGGTAAGAAATGTTTCAGATGCAATTAAGCCTTCTTTTATGATCCATGAGATTAAGTTACAGCATTATTCATAACTAAATATTAATATTGTTTCTCAAAATCATAACTTGATATTAATAGTTTCTCAAAACCATAACTTTTTTTGAAGTCACACAGCTGTTACAATCTAAAATATTATGAATATAAAACATCCTTTGAGATCTTTAGCTATAAATACACTTGAAACAACTCTGACAATAAAAATGTTCTTTATGCTCATATTCACAGGCAATAACTATATTAAAATTCCCAGTTTTTCTTTACATTTTTACTAATTCAGGTAACTTTGTTAACATGTCTTACTGATCATTTTGAGTTGAAATAACATCAGGAATAAATTATTTTCTATAAATATAACTTTCTGTAAATACATGCTTGCCAAAGTATGGTCAGAAGAGTTTTAGGAATAACAAATTTTGTTTCCATTTTTTCTATATTTTTATCAGCATAAAAATATTAAAAGCTTGCTTGTATATTTCTATATTCACTGTAATTTTTTGAAATTTCTCTTTTTGTATATTTATATTATAATGATTTTATTTGGATATTCTTAATTACTTGAGGCAGTTGGATTTAAGAGCAACTGCAGTGAGTGATGACTGATTTTCTTTCATTCACTCATATTTTTGCAATGTCAACCAGGTAGTTTCTGCAGAGAAAACATAATACATGGCCATACATTTCAGCTTTCACATCAGAATAAAAACATAGCACATTGACTTTCCACGTGATTGATACAAAATAAATTAGGATTGAATTATAAAAATTTAAATAGGCCAGGAGCAGTGGCTCATGCCTATAATCCCAGCAGTTTGAGAGGTGAAGACGGGTGGATAGCTTGAGCCCAGGAGTTCCAGACAAAGTCAGGCAACACGGAAAAAACCATCTCTACAAAAATTAGCTGGGTATGGTGGCATATGCTTGTAGTCACAGCTACTAGGGAGGCTGAGGTGGGAGGATCACCTGAGTCCAGGGAGCTCTAGGCTGCAGTGAACCATGACTGTGCCACTGCACTCCAGCTTGAACAACAGAGTGAGAATTCAAAAAAAAAAAAAAAAAAAAGAAATTTGAACAAATTCTGTTCTTCCTTAAATATAATACCTTTGCATCACATGTGAATTGTGCATGACAAAGGAATATGATTTCTTAAATACATAGTCTATGGGGTAAACTGAGAAAAAAGTAGTAGACTCCCTGGGTGTTTCATGTATAAGCCATTTATAGACCTGTGACAAGTTACTTTTTACCTTAGTTTTCTCTTGAATTAAATGGGGATGATAAGATTGCTGTGCCAATAAAGTGAGTTAAAAATGCAAAGCATTTATAAAACACTTAGATTTTAATGTTAGCTATTATGTTATCATTACCACTCCCTACCTTTATTCCACTCCCACTAGAACTTCTATTTTCTATTTTGGAAGATGGGATAATTATTCAAATATCATTATACAGAAGGACTCTTTTTGATCTATTGTTTTTGATAATATTCAAAATTAATATGAATGACCCTATTCACACATGGTTTTGTGGACTGGCTTTAGCTCAGTTCATGAACATGAATGTAAAGAGACCCACAAGTTGATCAGAACCTTGGAAATTGGAATGCTCAATTACACTTTATATTTTATTTTATGTATTTATTTATGTATTTATTTTTTGAGATGGAGTCTCCATCTGTTGCCCAGGCTGGAGTGCAGTGGCGAGATCTCTGCTCACTGCAACCTCTGCCTCCTGGATTCAAGCAATTATCCTATTTCAGCATCCCGAGTAGCTGAGATTACAGGAATGTGCCACCATGCCCAGCTATCAATTACACTTTAAATTTGCTTGCAACGTGACACTTGTTAAAATTTCTTTATATGTGAGAAAAACACTAGCTTGTTGCTTTGTCTCTATGATCAGCACACAGACGTTTATAACAAGAAGAAAAGCACAACATCTAAAAAGAGAAACAACTATACGAATCTATAAAAACGGTTTTATTTAGCAACATTTGATAAGGGATTTGGTGGGAAGAGAAATATATTTGATTTTCAGCCCTGGATATACTACTTCTGGGGAAAGGAGGAGGGTGAGAAGTAGTTATGTAACTTGACTTATTATATAATCAATATTTTGTACAAGGGAGGTTTCATAAATCTGTTTCCTTGATGTAGTCAACAACAAAATCCTCCACATCACTGCTGTAAAGAAGGTAGAAAATCATTTTCCAGCTTTATTCATATTTTCAAATTAACTATTAGGCATGCTCAAAATCAATGGCTTCAGTGTCTGTTACTTTAAAGTGTCTGTTATTTTAAAGGAACTTTGTATTTTTCACATTTTGACTCCTGAATGAGTACTTCACATGTGGCTCACCTTCCTCCCTTCATTATCTGAGACTCCTTCACAAATGCAATAGCCACAGATATTTCTGGGCCTCACAGGGATCAATATGATGAAAATTTTATGGATTCTGTCACCAAATCTCTTAGCTCTCTACAATTGGTCACAATTAGATACTCCATACTGCAGTGGTCTGACTGTTAAATTAATGTTCTCTCTAGCTGTAATAAGTCCTTTAGTAATCATGCTGATGGCCTCACAGTTAGTGCACAGGCTCTGGATTTAGACTGCTTTACCTTTCAAATTCCTTTTCTGCTATTTACTAACTTCGCGACTTCTGGCAAGTTATATGACCTTTTCTGAGCTCACTTGCCTGGTCTGTAAAGTGGAGACAAATTTATAACATCTCCAGATGAGTGCAGAAAGGAGTAAGGTGTTGGAGAAAAAAGGCTAGATAAACCTACACAACTAATAAAAGAGTGTCTGGTGCATTTTAAATGTGTGCATTAGTTATAAACCTAACCAAAGCTTTGCATTTCCCTGCATTCTGAGCTTTCTGTTCCTACTTTTACATTTGATTGTACTGTGTTACATCAAGGAATGAAATCTAAAGTACTAAAATATAGTGGAATAGGGCAGAATAAATGTCATGGTAAAAATAAATTTTAAATTTTCATAAAAACAGTGTTAAGTTAAAAAATCAGAGTAGAAATATATAGAGAAGAAGAGGGCAACAGAAAAAAATCATCTGACACCTGATAATATGATCTAAACCACCCTTGTTATGCCCTGTTTGAGACAATCCATTTGCCTAGTTCATCCAAGCATCAACAAAAAACAATTCAGTGTATGCATGCATGTGAATTCTCTTTACCATAAAATACGACCCTGATAAATAAGGATATAAATTCAGTTTGATGATATAACCACTATGCAGGCAACCCTAATCTCTCATTAAAGACCCCAGTTAGTAGAACTGTATTTTATATTGTTATCTAAGACTCAAAGTGAATAGGTCATTAGCTACACCATTTTCCGGGATTAATCTGTTATAGTTGTAACACTTAGACTATTTTTCACCAACTTAATATTTATATTGAACTTACATCCACATATAAGTGTTTTTTTCTACTTCCTTTTAGTAAACTGTACTAGATATGGGTGCTATGGTAATTTACATATTTTATAAAATTTAGTGATTTTTTTTTTCTGAAAGAAAATATAGCATGTTTTATCAATTCTAAACTTTAATCTTATATGGCATGTCATGTGCTTGATGAAAACACATGGGTTTCCAAGAATAGAATCCAGCAAATTCCATGAGTTTCATGAAATCAGAATATTGCAACTGGACATCTCCTTGAAGATTTATTAAAACCTAAAGGTACTTCTCATTTAACGGGCAGAGATTTTTTTCAGTTTTTTTTTTTTTTCTTGACACTTTTCTTTTCATTTATTATTATTTTTTTGAGACAGAGTCTTACTCGGTTGCACAGGCTGTAGTACAGTGGTGCAATCTTGGATAACTGCAGACTCTGCCTCCCAGGTTCAAGCGATTCTTCTGTCCCAGCCTTCTGAGTAGCTGGGTCTGCAGGTGTGTGTCACCAAGCCTGGATGATTTTTGTATTTATAGTAGAAATGGGATTTCACCTTGTTGGCCAGGGTGGTCTCGAACTCCTGACCTCAGGTGATCTGCCTGCCTCGGCTTTCCAAAGTACTGGGATTATAGGCACGAGCCAATGCACCCAGCCTTTTATTTTTATTTATTTTTTCTTTTTTAAATAAATCTTTTGCTGGAAGGAGGTAAGGACAAAATCCAGGCCACTCTTTTGCAGCAACCCGTAATTTAAACTTCTGTTCTTCTCCAAAACTCTCCTCTTTTGCCCAGACTCTGAGAGATTACCCTACCCCCAAAACAACTTTTTGAAAGTTTGAAACTCATTATTGAAATCCAGATCTTCTTTTTAAAGTCAAATAAAGTAAAAGCCAGAAGGAATGTGAACATTTTGTAAAGCAACATAGTGATTTAGTAGCTGTGACTATAATTTAGGTTTCCTGTCTTTTTGTTTCAAGTTTTGTAGTATATCCTCCTTTACTTTAAGTAACTATGAGTTAGAATCTGTTGAAAATATTTCTAAATGCATATATTTTCTTTTTTACATGTGTATTTGATGTAATACACTAAACTAGAAGCGGAATTAATTCCAAGAAGGCTGCTTTATACTTACTCTTGTGTTGTTTCTTTCAGCTTTAAGTTCAGAGATTTCTTCTTCCTTTTCTAGAAGTTGTTCCCTGCAGGCATTTAATTCTTTTGTCAGTGCAGCAAATTCCTGGAAAAGTAATAAAAATATTGGAAGAAATATTCAAGATCTAAAAGCAGAAATAAACATACAAATTTCAAAATGAAAAGAATGGGGAAAATTGACCCCATTGACTGGTTAACATATATTGCTGTTATGAAGTACCTTAATTCATTATTCAAAACATGCTAATTCATGTTTATTATATACATTTTATTACAATACACTGCTTAGATGGGTGTATATATGAAGTGTATTTCAAAATATATCAGCTACATCACACTGAATCTAATGTTGATAAGGTTTTCCTAGAGTAATTTAAGTATTTAAGTTCACCTAATTTTATGAACTCCAAAAATCATATACTTTAATATCTATATAACAATGTTTATGCAGAATACAGTGGATCTTCAGAATAACAGCACTGTTAAATGTGCTATTTTGAGATTAAGAAATGTATTTTATTTGTTAACAAGATGAAGCAGGGGAATCTACTTTTTTTTTTTTTTACAAAATAATAAATATGCATAAGATTTGATAACATTATGTAAGATTTTCTTATTGTGTATTGCTCAGTTTTTCGAAAAGGTAAGCTTCATGTGGACGGGGACTTTGACTTGTTCACTGTTACACCACCAGTATCTAGTACATAGTGGGAGTGCAAATAATATTTATTTTTAGTTAATAAAAATAGGTCACATTGTCACCAAAACATTGGGGGTTCTCGAGAATTCTATCTTCATGTGGTTAATGACACTGTGAAGTAATCTTCACTGGCCTCCTTCCCCTAAATGGGATCAGAGATCATATGATATGGTATTTTTACTAATGGTGGAAAGTTTCTTTACACAGAGAAAAGGTTATTTAATAAGAAGACCAGGAAATTCAACTATTCTGCTATTCTACATTATAAACAAATATTTAATTAAAAATAATATAATAAACCTTTAGAGTGATTTTCAGTAGTAAAATTGATGGTTATCAAATATTTAAGTATTTGAGAAAACTTAGCTCTAGGCTGAGAAGGCACTCAGAAGATGAAAGAAAAAAAAAAAAAAAATGGAGACAGTTTTGGTTAACCTAACCTCCCGGAAGGCAAATTTAGTGAAAATTAAATGAATATGATGATTATGCAAAGTTGGGGAAGATTTGGAATTTATATTTTTGTTTGCTTCAAACCACTTACTTTGCTTAGTTTCTCTAAATGGCTTCAGCCCAAGTGAATACTTCACAGACCTTAGAATAGACTTTAGGGCTAGATTCTAGATCAAAGAGTTCGTTGTTACATTTTGGCTACACAGGGATAAATGTTTTCTCCCCTAATTTTGCCTGCTTAAATGTTGCTAATACTCTGAGCATTTTACTTAGGTAGTAAATGGAAATGAAACAAATATAAAGCAATAAACCTATCTCTAGAAAATAAATTATTTTTCATATACTGCATAATTTTGATAGAGAAAAGAAGTGATACATGAAGATTCTTTACTGCATGTTATTAACAAATAGGCATTTAGAAACAATTTTATGCTTGTGTATATTATGACACTAAGATAAAACATAAATAAAATCTGTATTTTACCATCATGCTAATTATAAAACATATATGTGTCTGCTAGAATTATAACATTAGATATCTCTAGGTGTGAAATTATGAATGAATTTTGGTTTTTGGCTTCCTCCCACCACGTATTTCTTTTTTTTTTCTTTTTTTTTTTTTTTTTTGAGACACGAGTTTCGCTCTTGTTACCCAGGCTGGAGTGCAATGGCACGATCTCGGCTCACCGCAACCTCCGCCTCCTGGGTTCAGGCAACTCTCCTGCCTCAGCCTCCTGAGTAGCTGGGATTACAGGCACGTGCCACCATGCCCAGCTAATTTTTTGTATTTTTAGTAGAGACGGGGTTTCACTATGTTGACCGGGATGGTCTCGATCTCTTGACCTCGTGATCCACCCGCCTCGGCCTCCCAAAGTGCTGGGATTACAGGCTCCCACGTATTTCTATCATCAAACTTTCTACAGTGGAGAAGTATGCTTTTGTGCTTTGAAAATAAGAGAAACTATAATTGTTTAAGTTCACTAAAACAATCAAGCTTTAAAACAGAAAGCAGAAATTAGTCAAGATGTTATAAGTGACAGAAGACTTGGCCTTTTTTATTATCATGGCACTGATTCTGAGTAGGCTAGTGACTCCATGTATTAAGATTAGTCTTACATTTATTAAGTTCCTAGCAAATATCAGGTGCTACTTTCACATTCATTATACCATCTTGTTCTCTAAATCCCTAAGGAGGGAGTCTCACTCCCATCTTATAGCTGAGGAAACTGACTAATGATAAGCTGTAAGCCTAAATTCACAAAACTCAGAAGCCATAGGCAGTGAGTCAACTCTGAACATAATTCTCCACATTGCAAGTGTAGTGCTTTTCTACTATTTCATTCTGAATCTAGTTGTTAGTTGGGTTTATATTATTCAGATTTGGAGTATATTTAGAGGTGCCCTTTTTCCTTACCTGAAATATTAAATAATATTACTATTGATAAGGCTTGGCTCTCTGTCCCCACCCAAATCTCACATTGAATTGTAATAGTCCCCATGTGTCAAGAGCAGGAACAGGTGGAGGTAACTGAATAATGGGGGTGGTTTTCCTTCATACCACTTTCCTGATAGTGAGTGAGTTCTCACAAGATCTGATGGTTTTATAAAAGGGAAACCCCTTTCACTTGGTCCTCATTCTCTTGCCACTACCATGTAAGAACTGTCTTTTACCTTCTATCATGATTGTGAGTCCTCCCCAGAAACATGGAACTGTGAGTCTATTAAACCTCTTTTTCTTTATAAATTATGCAGTCTTGGATATATCTTTATCAGCAACGTGAAAAAGAATTAACACAACTACAATTATGTTGCATGATCCCCCTTAATTAGTCCAGTCAGAGTGTGGGGAGCTAGAAGGTCCAAGGTATAGTATTCCTTCCACACAGAGCAAAAAGTGTTAGACCAGTATGTTCTATGTATTTGAGACCACATAGAGGCTGAAACCTCACATGGAGGTAATCATACATTTTTTATACTTTGACAGTTATCTTTTCTATACCTACTCTCCTTACCATAAACATGAACTGAGCCTCATATCATCTTACAAAGATATCAGTAACAGAAAATACGGTTAACATTGATTGTGACCTTATGGTACGTATGCCATGTCCTCTGCCAAGCAATTTATATTAATCACCTCAATAATCCTAATAATACACTGTAAGAAACCACTAAACTCTCACTGAGGCCTAGAGAAATTAAGTAATTTGTTCAAAGTCACACACCTAGTCAATAATGGAGTTGGGCTTTGAACCCAGACAATCTAATTCATGCTAGGTGATTATAAGTTGTTTGCTTCCCCCGACCACAGGCTTTTCCCTTTTGATTTGTGCTTCAATTTTTGGAAAAATTATCTTTCCCAAGATCACTAAACTTTCAGAACTTTTTTACCCTCAAACATATCAAATTTAAACCAACTTTAACTTTCAAAATTCACACCACTCCAAACATGGCTCTTTCATAACTAATTTGCTTTACTACTTATAGAACAATAGCAACTATTAATACATTTTGAGTAATTGGCACTTTGTTTTGCCATGCCCCAAGCTAACTATTTTACTTGAATTATACCGTCTACTCCTTATTTTTCAGATAAGGACACCGAAGCTTAGCAGTGATGAATAACTTGTTCAAACTCACAGCTAAATATGACCCACTGTGTGAGTCTAAAACTTTTAGATTTTTGCAACACTGCCTCTTTCTGGTTGAAAATGGAAACTCTCTTATCAAATGTCTCAGGCATACTGAGATTATCATCCTTCTAACTATCCAGCCATTCATACAACATTTATTGAACACCTATCACATATCACACCCTGTGCTAGATGCTGAAGATATGAAGATAACATAGCACAGTTTTTGCAGTAGCCCTCATAGAACTTTCAGAATTCACATTTGAGGCCCATTAGGGATCTCTGTCATTAACAAGCAGTCAAAACCCATCACCAAAGTGCCACACACATAGCAATTCTAGTCTATACCCTTTAGAATTCATATTCCCTCAAAATTTTCCTTCTTAGGTTGTCTGTCTTCTTCATCTACTGTCAAAAATTTCTCTTTCCTATTTCCATTTCTACCTTTTCATATTTTCAGCTTTTTTCCTGTTTCTTTTACAAACTATCTACTATGCCTCGAATACTCTTCATCATCCTGTTGCCTAATTCATTTTTAAAGCACTAGTTAGCCTTCTTAATGCTTTAAAATACCTAATTATATTTTTTTATAATAACTGAATTATGTGTTTGTCTCCTGCACATAAACAATACAATCCTTTAAGGCAAGGTTGTTAGTGTTTTTTTGTTTGTTTGTTTGTTTTTGGGACAGAGTCTTGCTCTGTCACCAGGCACCAGGCTGGAGGGCAGTGTTGTGAGCTTGGCTCACTGCAACCTCCGCCTCCTGGGTTCAAGCAATGCTCCTGCCTCAGCCTCCCAAGTAGCTGCGACTACAGGTGTGTATCACCATGCCCAGCTAATTTTTGTATTTTTTAGTAGAGACGGGGTTTCTACCATGCTGGCCAGGATGGTCTTAATCTCTTGACCTCATGATCCGCCTGCTCCCAAGTTAGTGTATTTTTTATATCCTTAGGTCTTAGCATAGTTCCTGGAAAATTGCATAAACAATAAAACTATGTTGTGATAATAAATAAATGGCTTGCTTTCCTCAAATTTCAAACTTTGATACCAAAATAATTTTAAAAGTTATTATTGGAGTTTCTTTTTCTGAGATTATAATTTTCTTAACATATAAAAGATAGAATATTCTTTTTTAATTTGTAGCTTTTTTGTCTATATTGAAATATACTATTTGACATAGCAGTGACATTATCTGTCATGCTTTATAGCGCATATATATACGGTAATACAGTGGCTACTTGGAAGCTGCCAAATTTAACAAATTATTCAAAAAATCTTCTCTGATCCTGGCAGTTTCTGCAA